CGAAAGATTGCGAGTCGAGCGCCCTAACCACCTGGCCATGCCGGGCCACATGTTATTCAGAAACTAGATTAGGTTTCCAATAAAGACAACGTACACTATGCTAGATACAAATCGTACATCTTGAAGTTTTTCTGCGAGTTTTGTTAATAGTTACCTAACAACTTTTGGGTCTTTTCTCTATCTGAATCTGAATGGGCCAGACGTGATCTGGTGGTTGGCGTGCTCGGACTGGGAAACCGAGAGTTCGTGGTTTGCGACCCGTGGGTTTTAAGGATGGGCTATTTCATTAGAGTAGCCCAAGAGCACAAAATGTGCGTAGCTTTGCGCGAAAATTCTAAAAAAAACTGACTCTTTTTTATTTCCTAAATATAAGTGAAACAAGACTATTTTTAGGCATCATTTATAAATATGTACTGTAACCAGCTTAAAAATATTTGGGTCTTTTAGCTAAAAACAAAAGTGTTTTCAAATCTTAGCGAGGTTTTGTAGGTTAGGTATTTAATTCTAACAAACTCAAGGTGAATTAATTGAATTTAATATCACTTCACCAAACTAATGGCATTACACTTTATTAAAAGAGAAAATTTGATTTCCGAAAAAGAAGCCAGAGGGACAAAAATCTGCTATAAATGTATAACTGTAACGGTTACATCGCTCTCACAGCTAAAAGTTCGGAGTATCTTCAGAGGCATATCACGGCTCGAACCTTGATTCCACTTTCTGACTTCTTTTCTACACGGCTACTATTAATAGGAGGATTAACTGTTAGGGTTATATTGCTCTCACAGCTAAAAGTTCGGAGTATCTTCAGAGGCATATCACGGCTCGAACCTTGGTTCCACTTTCTGACTTCTTTTCTACACGGCTACTATTAATAGGAGGATTAACTGTTAGGGTTATATTGCCCTCACAGCCGAAAGCGTGGAGTGTATTCAGAGGCATATCACGGCTCGAACCTTGGTTCCACTTTCTGACTTCTTTTCTGCACGGCTACTATTAATAGGAGGATTAACTGTTAGGGTAATACTGCCCTCACAGCTCAAATTCTGGAGTGTCTTCAGAGGCATATCACGGCTCGAACCTTGGTTCTACTTTCTGACTTCTTTTCTACACGGCTACTATTAATAGGAGGATTAACTGTTAGGGTTATATTGCCCCCACAGCTAAAAGTTCGGGGTATCTTCAGGGGGATATCATAGCTCGAGTCATCAGACCAAGCCCGGCCATAAAAGATCGCTATTTTTTTTTCTCTAAATTTTACTTTGACAAATATTTGAAAGTGTTAATAATTATATACTGGGGAGAAACGAAGGGTTATAAAATCAACAGTCATAAACGCGAAAGTTTCCTTTTCACTTTCACGTTCATTAAACATCGTAAGTAATAACTGTAAGTATACAGGGGCATCGAGAGCCAACCTAGGCCCCGGGATCAGTAATGTCGTCGGGCCCCCCCTTTCATTCTATTTATAAACTTTTGGTAATTTTTCATAAAAGAAATTTAGGTGACAAATTTCTTCATAAATCCATAAAAAAAAAGCAGTAACTATTCTAGCTTAAGTAGTATGCATTTCTATTGAGCTTTGGAATATCCGACTGTGGGGTTCCTGGGCAGCTGCCCCTTGCCCTCCCCCTCTCGTCAGCCCTGCATATCTATATGAAATCTTATTAAACCTCTCTATGTGTTTGATTTAATATTCAAACTAACTTCTATATGAGAACTATATGAATAATATATACATATATAGAAAGGCTGTTCGCCATGGTTTGTTTGTAACATATCACACATCGTTTACTATATTGTGTTGTGTCTTTCTTAATGACACACTATAAACCAACTGCATATAACATTTCAAGGATTACTGATGCAATCTACCGTAAGAAGTTAATTGAAATTCATGTCACGAATGTTATAGTACTCAATTACTTAATTCATGTAAGTTTATCAGGTTGTCATAACTATTTTATCATTCTCACCAATCGGTATCGTGAATACAGATCAGTTATTTTTTTTCTTTGACGTATTCCACTTCGTTGGAAAGATTCAACGTAAATAAGCTACCTGTCATAAAATGGACTCCTCCGGCCAGCCTCTTGAACATGTATCTAGGTTCAGTGAACGTGTAGACCGAAAATCCAACACCCATCAACATCAGACACAGACTGATGATGGCAAAGGCAGTTTCAGTTCTTGTGTAATCTGAAGAGAAACGAAATAGACATATTGTACTGAATAAACGTTGACGAAACACCGCAATAGACAAATAGTGAATAAATACTAACATATCCGTGGAAATATTTCGACGAAGGATTGTGCGTTACGTATTTAATTCTAACAAACTCAAGCTGAAGTAATTGGATTTTGATTGGATTTCGTATCATTTTACCAAACCAATGGCATTACGCTTTTCTTCTATATATATTTTCAGGCGTAGATGTCAGAATCAATACACTTAAATCAATTTTCCATAACACATTGAACATTTGATACGTGAGTTTACTTTTGGCATCATATTGTCAAAAAAAAAAAACATAACGCTTACCAAAACACGGAAAATAATAAATAAAATGGTGACCAGGTTAATAATTTTAACTCTGTATTGTTTAACAGTCTGACATGAGTTTACAGCATGAAAAGTATGTCGAATAGAACTCCTTCTACACTTTATTATAGACAACCGTCAAAACTTCATTATGGTTTTCTGCAAAAAAAAAAAAGTTTATTCCATCGTGAACTCCAGAAAAAACCACAATCTCAGAGTAACATGGCCACCAGTTTGTAAGAGGATCACATTGATAAACTTTGTGAAATCGATTACACAAACCAAGCTGGAATTGTTGAACACACTGCAACTGTAAAAAAACGCTGAAACGATTTGTTTAAGGCACTTCCAGGCGCCCTCTAATAACGTAAGGACAGTGCTTAGAAAGAGTGTTAAATGCATAGTAAATCACCCTTGGAAATCATAAATATACAGTAAAGAATTAAACTTAATAGTTAAAACAAAAAACCATACAACCTTGTAAAAGATGTATACAAGTTTCATCGTAAAACTGTATTTGTAACAGATATGCGTTCCATTTCACCGATAACTATATTTCAAAAGTCTTTTTTCCATACTGCTTTTACGTTGTCTATCCGGAAGATGTCTCTGCAGTAGATTACAGACTAGGGTGACGTTAACACTCTCGTGCACTATAAGCTTGTATTTTGTTTCGATAAAGAAATTGGGTATTTATCAGATATACAACAAATCTCTTGAAGGTATGATCTCTCACTACGGATTCCTTCTTTAATTAGCTGTTTTTAAAAGAAAAAGAGCTAACGACTATTTTCACACTTTGAAATTATGTTTTAATAGAGAAGACCTAACAAGTAAGACTAAGGTTATTAACAAAACTTTCATTCTCGTCTTTAGAAATCCCTGGAAATATACAACGCTTAGAAAACGTTGTTATTCTTCAACGAGGCCACTATTGAAGGTTTATTAAATAACTTGTTCTCTCTCAAATTGACAGATATTTATTTGGCAAAATATGCATTTATTTTTATTTTTCTACCCAAAAAAAAACGAAGTAAGATATTCAGCCAAAAAAAAAAAGTTAAGACAATTCTAGTTATAGTAAAGTACTTAAAAACATGTTTGTTACAGCTGCTCTGAGAAACAGTCAGCAGCTCAAATGAAAATAAAATTGTCTCTTTATGTGTTTGTTGTTGATCGCAACGCTGCATAATTGTGTCCACCTCAGGAATCCAACCCCGAATATTGTGTTAGAAGCCCTCGATATTACCAGTAAGTCTTGTTTGTTTGTTTGTTTTGAATTTCGCGCCAAGCTACACGAGGGTTATCTACGCTAGCCGTCCCTAATTTAGCAGTGTAAGACTAGAGGGAAGGCAGCTAGTCATCACCACCCACCGCCAACTCTTGGGCTACTCTTTTACCAACGAATAGAGGGATTGACCGTCACATTATAACGCCCACACGGCTGAAAGGGCGAGCGTGTTTGGTGGGACGGGGATTCGAACCCGCGACCCTCAGATTGCGAGTCAAGCGCTCCTAACCACCTGGCGTTGATATTGTCCACTGAAAGAAATGGGACTAAATTTGAAGTGTCTGTTAATGTTGCGTTCATCGAGAGGCAAGTAGGAAAGTGTAGATTTCAATTATTGATATATGCGAAAATTAAAAACAAATTACATTGTGTTTGTTGAAACTGAACTAGAGTGGCCTTGTAAATTCAAAAACGTTTGTTTTTTAACTATAAGAAAAAACGAAAACAATATTCATGTTGATGTTGAGCTCAAGAATACGTTTTTTTGTTGTCGAAATTCTATGCTCGGCTTTTTTTGTTATTTTTGAAACACTGCAAATGATTTATTATTCTGTTGTTGTTTTTAAAACTTTACAAATGATTTATTATTTGTTGTTGTTTTTCAAAACTCTACAAATGATTTATTATTCTGTTGTTGTTTGTTAAACTCTACAAATTATTTATTATTTTGTTGTTGTTTTTTAAACTCTACAAACAATTTATTATTTTGTTGTTATTTTTTAAAGTTAACAAATGATTTATTATTTTGTTGTTGTTTTTTAAACTCTACAAATGATTTATTATTTTGTTGTTGTTTATTTTTAAACTCTACAAATGATTCAGTTATTTTTTTGTTTTTTAAACCCTACAAATGACTTATTATTTTTTTGTTGTTTTTTAAACCCTACAAATGATTTATTATTTTGTTGTTGTTTATTTTTAAACTCTACAAATTATTTATTATTTTTTTGTTGTTTTTAAACTCTACAAATGATTTATTATTTTGTTGTTGTTTTTTAAACTCTACAAATGATTTATTATTTGTTGCTGTTTTTTAAAACTCTACAAACAATTTAACATTTAAAACGATTAATACTTATTGTTATGATATTTAAAGCGATTTAGTTTTTATTATTCTAACATTTAAAATGATTTAGTTCTTTTTGTTGTAACCTTTAAAACTGTTGATCTATTATCGTTGTGACATTTAAAACGATTTAGTTCTTATTGTTTTAACCTTTAAAACGATTTATTTTTTATTGTTGTACATTTAAAAATTGTTTCTGCTCAAATTCTGATTATTGTTGCAATATTGAAAACGATTTAGTTCTTACTGTTGTAACTTTAAAACTGTTTCTTGTTGCTGAGTAACGTTTAAAACGGTTTAATTTTTTATTATTGTACTTTTAAAACTTGCTCCTTGACGCTGTTGTACTTTTAATGCCTTTTGCTGAAGTTAAAACTTCAATTGTTGTTGTTTTTTAACTTTGAAAGCATTTTTACCTTTAAAGTATGTTTGTTGTTGTTCTTGTAACTTTCAAAGCAATTTCGTTTCGTTATTATATCTACTTCGTTTTTCTGTTATATTTGTTTGTCTAATTTCAACAATTATAATTTCTGACACGGATTACACAAAGCATTTAATATTATTCAATACATTATATTTAATGAAATATATATCTTGTCGCTAACATGTGCGAAAAGTACGAAAATACCATGCAAGTCTAAGGTTTTTTTACATAAAGTTCAGTTGAAGTTTCATTTTCACATCCTAAGGATAACGTAACTTAATTGGGTATGTTATCATATGTTAAATTCAAATTTGTACGTAGAATATTGAACTTACCGAAAGCCACGAAGGAAAAGAAAAACACGACTTTATTGCTACGTTTTACCACAGCAGGTAATTTACTTTGTAATACACTTTTATGGCTCTAACTGTTTCCTTTTAATATATGCACACTCATACTCGTAGTACTCTGATTAAATGTACTTGTGGGTTACCCATTTTTATAACTAAAATGACATGTCGTAAATTTTTCCTACGTATATAATTTCCCACTAATGAAACAGATTACGCTAATGAAATATCTGAAACAAAACAAACGTCCAGAAATCACTATAATTAATCTTTGTCTTTTAATTAATACTGTGGATAAATCCATAGTTCATCAAATTCTGAAGCAACGACTTAAGATGAAAATGATTTATTTATGAATTTGTATAAAACGGTAATGGAGGCGATATTGAAAAAAAAATAATAATAACGGATTCTTGCCGCGTAATGACACAGTAAAGATAGAGAAAAGCCAGTTTGACGTTTAAGATAAATGAGAAACAAGTAGCTTGAAAGTTTCTAATACTTTGATTAAGAATTGGATTAGTTATGTTTAATACAAAACAACAACAACAAAAAACCGGAGGCAAAGGAATTAAATCAAATCCTGATTAACCGTTTAATAAATAGTTATTTCTAACTACGGCTCAAAACTTTAAGCTTG